AAAAAATCAAAATCCATGAGATATAGTTTCCACTGATCTTTATTGGTGAGATGTCTCCTGTAGGCAACAAACAGATATTTGGTTTTAAGATTTATTTATTTTTTAAAAAAGATTTATTTATTTTAATTGGAAAGTCAGATATACAGAGAGGAGGAGAGACAGAGAGGAAGATCTTCCTTACAATAGTTAACTCCCCTTGTGGCCGCAGCAGTTGGAGCTGAACCAATACAAAGCCAGGAGCCAGGAGCATCTTCCGAATCTCCCATGAGGATTCAGGGTCCCAAAGTTTTGAGCCATCCTCGACTGCTTTCCCAGACCCCAGGCAGGGAGCTGGATGGGAAACAAGGCCTCTTGGATTAGAACTGATGCCCATATGGGGTGCTGGCACTTTCAAGGTCAGGACTTTAGCTGCTATGCTATCGCGCCTGGCCCAAGATTTATTTATTTTTATTGCTAAGTCAGATATATAGAGAAGAGGAGACACAGAGAGGAAGATCTTCTGTCTGAGGATACAGTCCCCAAATGACCGCCACAGCTGATGCTGGGCCATGCAAGGCCAAAAACTCTTCTGGGTCTCCCACGTTGGTGCTGGATAGCAAGGCTTTGGGCTGTCCTCGACTGTGTTCACAGGCAACACGCAGGGTGCTGGATGGGAAACAGGGCTGCTGGTATTAGAACCTGTGCCCATATGGAATCCCAGTGTATATAAGGTGAGGACTTTTTTTTTTTCTTTTTTTTTTTTTAAGATTTATTTTTATTATTATTTTTTCATTGGAAAGGCAGATATACAGAGAGGAGAGACAGAGAGGAAGATCTTCCGTCCGATGATTCACTCCCCAAGTGAGCGCAACGGGCCGATACTATGCCGATCCGAAGCCAGGAGCCTCTTCCGGGTCTCCCACACAGGTGCAGGTTCCCAAAGCGTTGGGCCGTCCTCGACTGCTTTCCCAGGCCACAGGCAGGGAGCTGGAAGGGAAGCGGGGCTGCCGGGATTAGAACCGGCGCCCATATGGGATCCCGGGCGTGCAAGGCGAGGACCTTTAACCACTTGCGCCGGGCCCATTTTTGAGTATTTTTTTTTTTTTTTTTTTAATAAGGTGAGGACTTTACCACTAGGTCACCGCACCGGGCACGTTTAAGTCCAGGCTACTAAAATCTGATGTTTGATTGATGAATTTAAGCCTTTCACGTTCAGGGTTCGTTTGAATAGGTGGTGATTTGGTCCTGTCATTTAGCAATGAGTTGTGCTATTCCTCTTCTCTGTCAAGCGAACATCTTTAAATATACTTTGTAGGGCAGGTTTGGAAGAAGCGTGTTCTTTTAACTTTTCTTTACTGTGGAAGAGTTTTATTTCATTTTCAAAGACAAAGAAAGCTCTGCTGGCTATGTTATCCTGCACTGACAATTTTTTTCCTTTAGAATCTGGAATATGTTGCTCCATTCTCTTCTGACTTATAGAATTCCCAGGGAGAGGTTTCCTGTGGATTAATTTGGCACTCCTTTGTATGTCAATTGATTTTTTTTACATGCACATTTAAGAATGTTTTCTTTATGTTTGATTGAAGAGAGCTTGATTTTCATATGTCATGGTGAAGATTGCTTTTGTTGAAGCCTCTTGGGAGTACTGTGCCCCTCCTGAATGTGATTTCCCAATTCTTTTTCTAGAGTAGGGAAATTTTCCCTTATTATTTCATTGAATACAGCTTTAAATCCAGCTTCTCTTTCTGCACCTTCTGGGACTCCCATAACTCTTATATTTGGCCTTTTAATAGTGTGTTTCAATTCTTAAATACTTATTGTAACTTGACTGATCCACCTCTGCTTCCACCTTTTTATTTGTTTCCCCTGGAGACAAGAAATATCTCCCAATTTTTGAGATTCTTTCTTCTGCCTCACTTTCCTCACTGCCACCCCCTGAGTTCCCCTATATTATTACTAGTATAGTTGTTCATAAATAGTCATATGTCCATCATTGCGGGCATGGACAATGGCAGAGTCCAGCATCCTATTGTCAAGTTATAGTAAGCAGTTTCATTGGGAGTTCATCTTTGTCTGGAAGTAGAGATGCATACTGCATTGTATCCTCACATCTGGATATGATAGTCTCCATCACACAGTTACTATACATCCCCTTAAATGAAAAACCACAAAACAAAATCAACAACAGGAAGCAAAAAAAAAAAAGAAGAAATTAAATGAATGACTTATGTTTCACTGAAGAAATGAAAAAGAAAAGCAAGAATTTTATTCAAGAAAATGATGCTGCTACATGATCTATGGGTCAGTGAAGAGTTCAGTGAGAATGAGTTTTGAGACAATAAACCAAAAAAAAAAAACACCCATGAGATATAGTTTCCATTGATTTTGGGATATTTATTTTACCGGAATGTTCTTCAAATATCTTCCAATATTCTTCCAAATATCTTCCAAGTCTGAGATTCTTTCTTCTGCCTCCTTCATTCTATTTTGGAGACTCTCCGCTGTACTTTGTTTGCTCCACTATATTCTTCATTTCTGATAGATCAGCTTTCATTTGATTCATTTCCTGTGTGACATATTCCTTAAATACCTTGAACCCCTGTAGTACGTGCTTCTCGTTGTTGATAAGAAGCTTTACAACAGGTGTTTTGAATTCTGTATCCCCCATTTTCTTGATGTCTTCCTCAGTGAACTCTGAGGTTGGCAAAGGCTTTTGCTCCTTTGCAGAGGAATCTTTAGTAATATCCATTGTGCCTTTGTCTCTTCTTTTGCTCTTGGTCATTGTACTTCTGGTTAGCAGTCTTTTCCTTTGGTCTGGTTTCCAAGCTCTGTCACCCACAGGTCTACACTTTGATTTTACTTATTGCAGTTGGTACATGGCTCTTTGCTTGCAGTCACTTGTGCCACTTCCTTCAGCAAGTTCCAGGTCTGGGTTCTTATGTTAGATTTCCACCATGGTCTCCATAGGCCCAGCTCCTGACTCACCACTCTCCACCTCCTGTAATCCCATGCTGAGGCTGCACTGTTGTCTGTGCAACCTTTCTCCCACTTCTGGTTTGAGCAGGTCCTAGGATTAGAGAGACACCAGGTGTCCTATATAGCTAGGTTGTTGGTGTTGCTGATCTTGCAGCAACCTGTTGGCCGTTAGGTCTGAGGGCCTAATGGATGTATTTTGGCTCGTGCAATGCCAAAGTTGGTACTATTTTCCTGTGGGACCAGTGCAATGCCCTGAGCTCAGTGAGTTCTAGCCGAGCTCAGTGCATGTGCAGCTCACTGTTGTCCCTGCAGTCTTAAAGCCTTTGCTGCACTGTACAAAATGGTGCCTGATATGCCACTTGTGCAGTTTTGGATCTGCTGGCCGTCAGGTCTGAGTGCTACCTATACCTGTCTTGGGTGCAACCTGTAGGATGCCACGTTGTTGCAGTTCATTGAGCCAGAAATGAGTTCACTCCCAGCTCAGTGCATGCTCAGTCCTGTACCATAACCTTTTCCTCTCTACATAAAATGGCACCCAATTCAGCTTTAGGGGACAGACTGGGTTGTGAAATTCACCCTGTTCTTGCACTGCCCATCTGGGACCTGCCTCTAAGCCCCTGCTCCTGGTCAAATCTAACAGACCAGCAGGACAAGCAGTTCTTTGTCTGGGTTCACCTCCTGAGCTCCCGGTGAACATCCCTTCCCACCTTGTTGCTGGTGGAGTTCAGGTTGCTAGTGTAGTTTAGATCACCACTTGCTGAATGCTGCTTGGGTATCAGTCACTGCAACACCACACTGCTTTCCTGTGTCTGTCAGTCTCCAGGTACCTCTCTACCATTGTTCTGTCCTCTCCTATTTCCTGGAATGTGCCCTCTCTTGCTTCACACTGGGTAATGTTTCTCCTTCCATTTAAAAGTCTCCTTACCCTATTCTGCTGTCTTGATTCTTGAATTCATTATTCTAGATGTGTTCCTACCTGCATAGAATGTAATGGCAGTAGTACTTAAATAAATTGTGACTTTTTAAAAGTATTTTTTTATTTGACTGGCATTTTTGTGTAGTGGATTCAGTCACTGCATGTGGCTCCAGCCTATTATATAGTTGCTAGTTTGAGACTTGGCTGCTCCACTTCAGACACAGCTTCCTGCTGATGCACCTGGATGTGCTTGAGCCCCTGCACCAATGTGTGAGTACCTGATGAAGCTCCTAGCTCCTGGTTTCAGCCCGGTCCGGCCCTTGCTTTTGGGGCCATTTGGGAAGTGAATAGGCAGTTGAAAGACCTCTGTATCTTTCCCTCTGTGTTTGCAGCTCTTCCTTTCAAATAAAAATGTTCTGTATGATAGATTTATTTGACAGGGTAGAGAGAGAAAGCAATCTCTCATTCACTGGTTCACTCACTAAATGGCCACAGTAGTCAGTTCTTGGCCAAGCCAAAAGTAAGAGCTAGAAACTTCATCCAAGTATCCCACGCAGCTGGCAGGGACGCAGGTAGTTCTGCTGCCTTCCCAAGCACATCGGCAAGTAGTTGGATCAGAAGCAGCTGGGACTCAAAGTAGTATTTACAGGGCATGTTGGTATCACAAGCTGTGGCTTAACTTTCTGTGCCACAATACTGGCCCCTAGAGAAGTGATCTGTGTATTTTGCAACATAGGCTGTTGGTGATCTCACAAATTATGCCTTTTTGGAGGGTTGAGGGCAAACGCCAAATTATAGTAAGTTGAACAAAGAGAGGGAAAAAAAAGCAGCCGTAATGTGTTGACAATTATTTTAGGGAAATAAAATATTTTTTAAGCATTGTATTACCAAGGCAGCTAAAGTATGAGGCAACTTGCCTCCATGCGTGTAAGGAGAATCCTGAAAAGAGGGTGACTAAGGAAATCATTCTGGGGAGCACCTCATTTCTAGGTCTATGTGCTATGATTCCAACTAGGACTTAGCAGGTTCTTGGACTTTGAGCACTGTATAGCCTACTACTGTGTGTCACACAAAATATAGTTGTGTCAATCAATAGCACCCTAAAAGGTTTGTTTTAAATACATTCCAGAGCATCACCTCAAGCCTTTGGAATCAATTTTAGAGGATGATACCAAGAATTTGAAGTTAACAGGTGACTCTCACTCTTCCACTTAAGATTTATGTTCTTAGTATAATTTGAGAACCATTGATCTACTGAGTGAAAGTAAAAGTGTAGCATTAAATTGAAGAATTAATTGAAGACTGGTAAGGCAGTTATTCATTCTCTCTCTCTCTCTCTCTCTCTCTCTTTTGTATTTATGCCCTCAAATAAGAGAAACTGTGTGAAAAAAATAGGACATACTCATATTTTTAAGAAAGAATCTTACTATTAATTTGTATAACCATGCTTCTTGTGAAAAGTTTAGATTATTTTCACTTTCTTTTTATAATAGACCTTCATACTACAAACACTGTACTGTGTAGAGAAAAGATTGTTTTGAGAATTTTCTTGGTTTAAATCGCGGCTCTATCACTTGCTAGTTCTGTAGTTTTAAATAGCTTAAGTTATCTCTCAGTTTCCACATTTATAATAGAAATATCAAAATACTGTATAATCTCATTGAGTTGTGAGGATTAAATGAACTAATGATTGCAAGTACTTAAAATGGTACCTGACACAGAGTAAACACTTCATATGGGCTATTATTGTTAATAACCATCTTGTGTATGTATAATCTAATTTCTTTTGAACTGTTTCTATAGCATAACTTTTCAGAATGGGATCATTACTTTAAGGATGAAAACCATCTTTATGTTCCTTTTCCATCTTTGTCATTGCTTTTTAATCATTTTTGATGAAAAATTTTTAAATTTAATTTACCAATTATGTATGTATGTGTGTGTTTTGTGGTTTTCTTTATATGTAAGCATATAGAAAACAACGACCTTGTTAAGTTTACTATCTCCCAGTAGATGTTGGTAAGTGGTAGTAATTTTCTTTTGAAAGGTCATGTCAAGGAAATACTCTAAATCTGTATCTTTTTTTTCTTTTGATAGATTGAAGCCATGGCCATTCTTTTTGCTGTTGTTGCCAGGGGAACCACTATCCTTGCCAAACATGCTTGGTGTGGAGGAAACTTCCTGGAGGTTACAGAGCAGATTCTGGCCAAGATACCTTCTGAAAATAATAAACTAACTTACTCACACGGCAAGTGAGTTCCACTTCACCTGTAGTAGAGGGTGAAAGAAGGGGATTCTCTTATTGTAATTAGAAGTGTGGGAAACTAGAAAATAAGGTTCTAAGTGGATACTTTCAATATGATGACATAACCCTAACCTTTACCAGCTTAGAAAATTATCTGTTTTATTACTTAAAAATTATTATTCTGTAACTTATTTTAAATTATCTTATTCTGTTGAAATGATCTTATTTTAAATATATGGACATGTTAGATGTAAACATGACTGTTACAGGTTCTGTAGAATGATAACAATTAGATACATAATATTCCTTTGTGCATTTTTTCAGTAAATATTTACTGAGTGCTTAACTATTGCCAATTGTTTTGTTTGCTACTAGTGATATAAGAAGAAACATGATATTTGTCTTCATAGAGGTTATAGCTTAATGAAGGATACTACCAAATTCTTACATAATTATAGTAGGGGAAGGAAGACAATAGGTAAGGGGATGACATTCCAGGTCGAACAAACAGGAGATAAAGAAGTATTAGAGCACAAAACCCCAGGGCTTATAGAGAACTGTAGGTTCCTAAAAGGTTGAATGTTACCCTGAGAACAGTAGGGAGACTATGAAATTTTTCAGCAAGAGTTTGACATGATTAGGTTTTGCTTTAGAAGGATCGCTGTGGTGACTTAAGGGAGACAACATAGATGGTAAATTTAAGAACTCAGGTAAAAGGTAACTCAATCTTCCTCATATATATTTTTGTCACTTAACCCATCTTTAATTGCATTATTTTTTTATCTCAAAAGAAAGTCCTTAAAAGAAGTACTTTCCAGAATGTATGCCATATACAGTTTAGGATCTAGTCTAAACCACTGGGAGAGAGAGAGAGACCCCAAGATATAATGTTAATTAAAAGGAGATAGTGAGCCCAGTGCGGTGGCCTAGCGGCTAAATTCTTCGCCTTGAACATGCCATCATCCCATATGGGCGCCGGTTCTAATCCCAGCAGCTCCACTTCCCATCCAGCTCCCTGCCTGTGGCCTGGGGAAGCAGTGGAGGATGGCCCAAAGCCTTGGGACCCTGCATGGGAGACCTGGAAGAGCTCCTGGCTCCTGGCTCCTGGCTTCAGATCAGCTCAGCTCCGACTGTTGCAGTCGATTGTGGAGTGAATCATTAGAAGGAACGTCTTCCCCTCTGTCTCTCCTCCTCTCTGTGTATCTGACTTTGCAATAAAAATCAATAAATCTTTTTTTTTAAAGGAGATAGTGCAAAAATGAGCAGTTTTGGGCTGAGGTAATTTGGCTAAGTACTTTTTACCTCTTGCCAAGCTCATCTCTGAATTCTTGCTCAGTATTTCCAGAAAATAGAATAAGTTGCTACAGAAAAAGTTAAAGGTTATTAGAAGATGATTTGCAGTATTCCATTCTGCTTTCTAGCCACCCAAATATATGAACTCTTCTTCCCGAACAAAGAACATGATTCTTCTCTGAGGGAAGTAGTTCCAAAGACTTATTTGGTCACTGTGTCTAGGTCTAAGTCCATAGTATCTGGGATCCAGAAATGGCTCTCATGGCTCACAAATCCTCAACTAAAAAATTAGATGTTTTATATGCTTCCCTAACTCAATTCAGTAGGCATTGGAGGAATAAGAATAGAATCACTAAAAGGAGAGTTGAAAACTCCTGTATTGAAAAGGAAAAAGTAGAAATGCATAGAGGCTGTTGCTTCCTAGCAACGATCCAGTAACTACTCAAGAACAATTTCAGAAATTCCCTGGTCTGGTTAGGAAATGATTAGGGATCTGCTTTTGGAGAAACTACCTCATCTTTTCGCCATGATTCATGACTACGCTTTCCTTCCTGATCCATTATATATTCTGACCACATCCAAGATGGATATTAAGGAGTGTGTCATTTTGGAACTGTGAAGATTCTGTAGTCTATTTCTTGCCATTGTATGTTTGAGAGCCCAGAGATTGCTTTAGGGTTTAATAAGCTCTGCCTCATAGGAGTATGACTTTGAAGTTTCTGCAAAAATTTATTAAGCTTTAATGTCCAGGGAAGGTATATACGATCTGTTTAGAGCATGATACAGAAATGGGATGTATGTCTTCTACTCACATTTTATGAGCCAGAACTTAATAGCATAGCCACATCTAGCTACAAGGGGTGTTAGAATATGTAATCTAATTGAAATGTGGTCATAGGTGGAGATGTCTGCTTGCTGTATCTTTCCACCTGTGTTCTGATGCAATCTTCTATGTCTTCTGGGGTGATATTACATTACTGAGATTTTTCTTAAGATTTATTTATTTTTGGGCCTGGCGTGGTGGCGCAGTGGTTAAGGTCCTCACCTTGCACGCCCGGGATCCCATATGGGCACCGGTTCTAATCCCAGCAGCTCCATTTCCCATCCAGCTCCCTGCTTGTGGCCTGGGAAAGCAGTGGAGGACAGCCCAAAGCTTTGGGACCCTGCACCCGTGTGGGATACCCGGAAGAAGTTCCTGGATCCTGGCTTTGGACTGGCATAGCATCGGCCGTTGCCCTCACTTGGGGAGTGAATCATCGGACGGAAGATCTTCCTCTCTGTCTCTCCTCTCTGTATATCTGCCTTTCCAATAAAAATAATAAAATAAATCTTTTAAAAATTTATTTATTTTTATTGGAAAGGCAATATTATAGAAAGGTCTTCCATCCACTGGTTCATTCCCTAATGGCGTGATGGTCAGAGCTGAGACAATATGGAGCCAGGAGCCTCTTATGGATCTCCCATGTGGGTATGTGGGTACATGTTCCCAATTTTTGTTTTTATTGCAAAGTCAGATATACAGAGGAGGAGAAACAGAGAGGAAGATCTTCCGTCCAATGGTTCACTCCCCCAGCGGCCACAATGGCTAGAGCTGAGCACATAGGGGATCCTGGTGCGTTCAAGGTGAGAACTCTAGCCGCTACACTATAGTGTTGGGCCCTATTCATTTTTATTTTTAATGTGCTTTAGAAGATTCTTCAAGATCAGCTCATGACCCCATCTGTCAGGACTTTAGCCTGCAGTTTTGTTCTCTAGCTATACTTAGTTATTTAGACTTAAATGCTGGATTCTTTCTTCCTAACCTTTGCAATAGCTGTGGCCTTTTAATGGAATATATTTATCATATTTTTTAAAAAAAATCCAATTCTGTCTTCTTGAATTTAATGTTTCCCCTTATGAAAACTCTGAACTCCAAGACAGGTCCAGTACTTCCTTTTTGTATTTCTATGTAGCATCTAAAGCTACATAGAAATTCATATTATGGCACTTACCACACTGTGTTATAACTGCAATCCTGATTCTTTGTGCTCTGGCCATAGACCATGTGACAACAAGGGATCATACTGTTTTGTCTTTTTGTGGCCTGCATACATCAAATGAATCCTAAGTCTGCTTAAAGATGAACAATTTTATAAAGAGAATGATTATTTCCATTTTGGATATTATGCTTAAGTTGGCTGTGGTGTGTCTAGTTGGATGTATAGAGTAAACAGTACCATATTTAGGTTTGGAACTCAGGAGATACTAAATTTGGAAATCATCAGCATATTGTGATGACTGAAACAGACATCAAAAACAAAATGTGAGTGTGCATGCTACCCTCTAGGGAGAGCATGAGCAAAGCAGGGAAGGTGAAGATGCTAGAAGGCATAGAGGGAACACAACTACAGTCCAAAGTAGATGTATTAATCTGGTTGAACTACTATAATAATACCATAAACTGAGTAGATTAAACAGCATATACGATATGTCTCACAGTTCTGGAAAGTGGGCAAGGTGCCAATTTATCTCCTAGAGAAGCCCCTTTTCCTGACTTTCTGTTGGCCACTTTCTTGATGTGGACTCACATAGTGGTGAAAGAATGATCTTTGTTTTGATCATGAGGTCTGTATCCTAGTCAGCCAACTCTAATTTACCTTATAGAAGCCCTGTGTTTGAATATTGTCATCCTGAAGGTAAGGACTTCAACATAGGGAGTTTTAGAAGGGCACAGTTCTGTTCAGTGTACCAGGCAAACCTGATATCAAGAATTCTGGTACGTAGAGAATGCATTTTTCTTTTTCTTAAGATTTGCTTACTTTTATTAGAAAGGCAGATTTACAGAGAGAAGGAGAGACAGAAAGACAAGGATCTTCCTTCTGCTGGTCCACTTCCCAAATTGTCACAACAGCTGGAACTTAGCCAATTCAAAGCCAGAGGCTTCTTCTGGATCTCCCAAGTGGGTGCAGGGGTCAAAGGACCTGAGTCATTATCTGCTGCTTTCCCAGGCCATACTTGGAGAGCTGGATTGGCAGTGAAGCAGCTGAGACACAATCCAGTGCCCATATGGGATGTCAGCACTTTAAGGTGGAGAATTAGTCTGTTGAGCCACAGCACCAGCCCCAAGAAAGTATTTTCTAGAATAAGGAAGTGAACTTCACTGAGGACCACTGTATATGCCAGTATATATTGTCATAGATGTGATTGGTGTGGACATTTTCAGATTAGTGGAGAAAAGCATTTTGCCTGAGTTTCTATACTTCTTTATAGTTCTTATAAGGCTGTTTTATGAGCATTAATAATACCATTCAGTATATATTCATGTCTGCCTTCTTGCCCAAGGTTGAAATCTGGGAGGCAAAATTTGGTTATCCTTCTGTCTTGTCCCATGTAGCCAGTCACCAAGTTCTGTAAATGTTTCCTCCTATCCCACTTCACTGTGCATTTTTATTCATTGCCCATACTACTTTCATATTCCTCCTCATTTCTTATCTGTAGTCTCCTGTTAGGTCCTCCTTTGAGTTGCTTCTTTACATTCTAGCAAAGCATCTTTTTTTTTTAAGATTTATTTTATTTTCATTGGAAAGGCGGATATACAGAGAGGAGGAGAGACAGAGAGGAAGACCTTCCGTCCGATGATTCACTCCCCAAGTGAGCGCAATGGCCGATGCTGTGCCAATTCAAAGCCAGGAGCCTCTTCCGGGTCTCCCACACGGGTTCAGGGTCCCAAGGCTTTGGGCAGTCCTCCACTGCTTTCCAGGGCCACAAGCAGGGAGCTGGATGGGAAGCAGGGCTGCTGGGATTAGAACCAGCGCCCACATGGGATCCTGGGCGTGCAAGGCGAGGACCTCAACCACTGCGCCATCGCACCGGGCCCAAAGCATCTTTTTTTTAAAAAAGTGCAAATTTAATCACTTTCTTTCCAGGTTAAAACTGTTTAATGCTTGTTTATTGTTCTTACATCTTGTGCATAGACCTGGTTTTTGTTACTTGTCCAGCCTCATCTGCTCAGGCAATTTGGTTTTTTCCCCCTTACATTCTATCCAGTTGTACTTTTCTATATTTAATATGTTGCCTTTTTTCTTACACTTGCTGCTTCATACTGTAAAATACTGTGCTAACTTTGAATTTTCATCTCTTCATATTCTTCAGGTCTGAAATCAAGACAATACATCACTTATTTCAGGAAGTCTTTCCTTTTACCCTTTGCCATGTCTCTGTTATGTCTTCCTCTTTGTCCCCAGAGTACCATGTACTCCTTTTAATTTCCTCATCATCCTGTTTGCCAGGCTGCAATATAATTCCCTCCACTATAATCTCCATGGAGGCAGGGACTTGATAGTTTTTAATTTCAAATATTCTCAGCATCCAACACAATAACTGGCTCAGTGTAGATGTAGAAACAAATGTTAATGTTGAGATTTTGGTAGAAAATGTATTTGCTTTGAGATTTTATGAAAAAGCAAGGAAGACTACATGCACCCATTGGGAGTTAATCTTAGATATGTATTGTTCCTAAGATGTCATCTTTTATTCAGGCCTTAAGAGCCCAGTTAATGCTTTTGTAGCTATCATTATAATAGTTATCATTATAATATCATGTACATACCATTGTACTGTGTAGCCAGAGTAGAAATTTTCTTTGAATTTCTTATTTACTCCTCTTAGTTTGACTTGAGGGAAACATGTGTGGAGGGAGGGGATGAGGAAAGGAAGAATAGGCTTACTTCTAAATAAGTTGGTGACATTGACAATACTAAACTTATATAACAGATAGAAGGTAGAGATGAAATAGATGCTGTTTATAACTACAATAAGCCTTATATCTTTTATTCTGCAGTTACTTGTTTCATTATATCTGCCAAGACAGGATTGTGTATCTTTGTATCACTGATGATGTAAGTAACTTGGAGACATTGCTTTTTATGTACACTGGTAATACAGTTTTTAATCATCTGTGCCTATGGTAAGTAAGGATAATGGAAACTTTCTTTTAGCAGTTTTTTGCATTTGTCATATAGTTTAACACATGACAGGAAAACATGACACCTGATTGGTTTTGGTAGAATAGTAACTTGTAGCCATTTCTGTATTTATCCTTGTATAGTGAGAACTGATGTTCATAATTATGATTGTTTGGTGTCGCAGCCTCCCAAAACTCATTTAACTTGAACTAATAGATGACTTCATTCCTCCAAGAAATACATTATGAATCTTAGATGTATATAAGCTTTGGATAGACAAAATCATAGTACCTTATAATCAATTATGTAAACCTATACTTTATATCAGGTAAGTAGGTTTTGTTTATTTTCTTAATGTTTGTAGGCTGTGGACCCAAATGTTAACCTAATGACGTTATCAAGATCCTTTCCTCTGCTGTACTCAGTGTTGGTTTCATCTGGACAGGCTTCTCTTACTTGATTGCATGAAGCTTCATGCCTGTTTATTCATGCACAAAGAAGAGTAGCTGCCTTTTTGAGTCTCTTATTGTATGAATGAATAAACTTTACCAGAACATATCTTCTGCCCCCTCGTTTTCAAAGTGAACTTTAACAGGCTAATGGCCCATAAATAATGTTATAAATATCCAAATGGCCGTTGACAGAAAAAAGATTCCCAACTCCTACTCTGTTTTTTATAAATTGCTCCCTGACAAGAGGCATGGAATTGCTTGAGGTCATAGATGAAGGTTTTTAGTTCATTGTGTCATAAACCTCTTTGTCACCCATGAATTCAGTATATTTAAAATAAAGTATAAAGTAGCTCTTCTGGTTGCAGCAGCGCGAGCAGCCATGAGCAGCAAAGTTTCTCGAGACACCCTGTATAAGGTGGTGCGGGAGGTCCTGCACGAGAACCAGCACGAGCGCCGCAAGTTCCTGGAAACGGTGGAGCTGCAGATCAGCCTCAGGAACTACAATCCCCAGAAGGACAAGCGTTTCTCGGGCACCGTCAGGCTCAGGTCCACCCCTCGCCCCAAGTTCTCGGTGTGCGTCCTGGGCGACCAGCAGCACTGCGATGAGCCCAAGGCTGTGGACATCCCCCACATGGACATCGAAGCGCTCAAGAAACTCAACAAAAACAATAAACTCGTCAAGAAGCTAGCCAAGAAGTACGACGCCTTCCTGGCCTAGGAGTCCCTGATCAAACAGATCCCTTGGATCCTGGGCCCGGGCCTCAACAAGGCAGGCAAGTTCCCCTCCTTGCTGACACACAATGAGAACATGGTGGCCAAAGCCAACGAGGTCAAGTCCACCATCAAGTTCCAGATGAAGAAGGTACTGTGTCTGGCTGTGGCTGTTGGCCATGTGAAGATGACCGACGATGAGCTTGTGTGCAACATCCACCTAGCTGTCAACTTCCTGGTGTCATTGCTCAAGAAGAACTGGCAGAATGTGCAGGCCTTGTACTTAAAGAGCACCATGGGCAAGCCTCAGCGCCTGTATTAGGCTGTCTAATAAACCTGTGTGTGTCTGAAAGAAAATAAAATAAAGTATAAAATAAAATGCACATGATTCTGAGCATAAGCAGTAACATTAAAATATATGCATAATATTTAAAAATTTTAATTGATGCTTCCTTTTGAATTAGCAATATCTAGTCATGGATCTAGTTACTAATAATTCTGAGCATAAATTATATTTCAAGGTATATATAACTGATAGCATAGAAAAAATATATTAGTTATAGCATTACAGATATTGTTTAATACTACTCTGGTTACCTGTATTTGCAGTTGAGATTTAAAGTAAAGATTGGTAAAAAGCAATGTAATTTATTTTCTATTTGAGTACCTCTTGACTTTCTACCATTGATCCCATTTAAGAACTTTTGCATTAGACCAAGCATCCTGAATGTAGACAGAAATGATGGTCACTTATATTGATCATCACAATGATTTTTATCTTTGATTTCAGAATACTTTATAAAATTAGAAAAGGAGATCCAACTAGGTTACAAAGTGACTGATATGAAAGAACTTGGATTAGATGAAGGTTGTGAAGCCTGAGATGGAGAATTGAACCTCATGTTTCTTGAGCTGTAATTTGAAACACAGGCACTTACACACATAAACATACATACATAGTTTTTGACTGTCTAGGACTAGACAAGAATATATCACTTGATCTTTTCAAATGTGCCTTTGTGATTGATGTTATCAAACTATCAAAGTTTAAGCCAATATTATTTTTGTGTGAAAGACTATTATTTATTGGTCATTTTTGTGTCTGAAACTTTTCATAGATCTATGAAAAAATGTGGAAGAAGTAAGACCCAATTCTTGATCTCAGGAAGCTGATAACACACTATTCTTTGGCAGTAGCCAGACATATCTGGATTTAACAGTCATCTCTTTAATTTGCTACTTGCTTGATCTTTGATAAGTTATTTACCTTTTCAGGATCTTTATTTCTTTCTCTGTAAAATGGAAACAATGCTGGTTCTTCCTGATAAAGTCAGTGCTCGGTAAACATTAGCAGTTTTTATTATTATTGTTAGCCACCCATATCATATTTTTTAAATGTGAGCTCAACCTTGATCTCTTTCTAGGATTTTGAACGTTCCAGAGCCTTTAATTTTCTGAATGAGGTAAAGAAAAGATTTCAAACCACTTATGGTTCAAGAGCCCAGACAGCCCTTCCATATGCCATGAATAGCGAGTTCTCAAGTGTCTTGGCTGCACAACTGGTAAGATTTTTCTTGGGATGAAGTGTTGTGAATCATACCTTCTTCTCTATTGCCTTAGATCACCACACATATAGAAAGCCCTGGCCTACAATATGCTTTTTGGCTTGTTTTACTATAAGCCAACATGACAAAACTGCCCTGATAAAAAAGGATGGGGTATTTGGGTATTTGGGTATTTTAGAGTGGATAACTAATAATCAGTATTTTAATAGTGGCCAAAGTGTCTCAGGACAGGGAACAATATTGGAGGTCATCTAATTAAACTACTCTTCTAAGGATTAAGTCCACTCCACATTTCAAATGACATTTTAACCTAACTCTACCTTTCTGTGAGGCAAATTCCATTTTTGAACAACTGAGACGAAATCATTTGAAAGTCTGTTCATCTGTGTGACTCTCAAATTGTTAACCTAATGAAATTTCACCTAAATACTAAAAATCTTCAAAAAGTTAACAGAAAGGGATTGACTCATTTCCCTTCGCATGATGGTTTCCAGTTGGGCCCATTTGGCTACAAAGAACTGCATTTCGTTTTTTTTAATAGCTGAGTAGTATTCCATGGAGTAAATAAACCATAGCTTTTTTATCCAGTCTTCTGTTGATGGGCATTTCAGTTGCTTCCAAGTTAGGGTTAGGGTTTCGGTTCCCAAAAGGTCAGATACCACGTTTGCCTTAATTTAAGTTGGAATGCTGTCAGTTTGTAAAAGGGTACCTGTGAAATGTAGTATTACATTGTTAATTAATCCCATAATGTTGGAAATGGTTGTTGATGTTGTGTTATGGCATTTAATTGGTCGGAACGATAATCTGCCAGCTATGTCTCCAGACCAGAGTTAGTCTCCTTAAGAAACTGTTGAATTCAGCTGGGAAACAAAATACTGGACACTATGCAAGGCACATGCTTGCATTGAAAGAAACAAGACTAGATTTGAACTGTAATACTGCAATAAGGTGGAGCAATCCACCATGGGGGGAGGGCAAGAGGAGGGGAAGGGGGAACATCAGCACCTATGAAACGTTGTTATAAAATGAAATGTAATAAAAAATATATGTAAAAAAACAAATAAATATAATCAATCTAGTACTCAAAAAAAAAGTTAACAGAAAGGGAGTGTAGATTTTAAAAAGTTGGGGGTACCAATATAGGCAGCTTTAAATTCTGTGTTCCACTAACTTTTAGAAGTCTTCTATATCTCTTTAAAGTAACAGTTTAGTGAAGACCAAAATCATTTTCATTACTCTAAAATTTTTCTCACCTTCTTTCCCAGTTTTCTCTCCAATACTCTGCCCCAGGATACCAGTGCTCTTATTTTCTGTCACTATCAATTAATTTGTCTTTTCTAAAATTGCCTGCAAATGAAATCATATGGTATACACTTTGCTGTGTCTTGCTTTTCTCAGTGTAAAGCTTTTGAAACTCATCTGTGCTGTATAAATCAATAATCTTGCTTCCCTCTTTGCTTAGTAATACTGCATTTCTGTACCACGATTTGTTTATCCATTTCCCTGTTGCTAGATATGTAGGTTACTTCCAGCATTCAAAAATCATGCGTAAAGCTGCTATGAACATCCACATACAAGTCTGTGTGGATGTGTTTTTATTTCTCTTTGGTAAATACTTGGGAGTGGATTTGCTGAGTCATATGGTACATGATATGTAATTTTTTAAAAATCACTTTTTCCAAAGTGATTTATCATTTTATGGTCTTAGCACCACTGTTTGTTTTTTTTTTTTAATTTTAGCCTTTCTAGGGAATCTAGCATTTTTCTGAGTATTATACTTCTAAATATACGTGTATATATGTGTGTATGCATTTGTCTGAGATGAAGTTCCTTCAAATTAGTTCCGTTTAAACTTTATGCAAATATTTCACTTCATAATCCTTACTAGAAAATGTCATGTAATGTGAAAATGTACAAAATTTCACCAATGAAAAAGGATACCAATATATAATTAAAAGTATTCACAGTTACTTGGCAGCAAAATATTCAATTTTATTTATTGTTAGTTCCAGAACTGTGTGTGACTCTGGACAAATTTCATCTGCAAATAGAAATAGTAATAGCATTTTTATCACAAAACTTTCAAGTAGATTAAATAATATCAGCTATTTGAAACATGTAGCACACTGAAGTGACTGGAATATTGTGTATTAAGCAGCTGGAATAGTATGACTCCATAGTTGTTAGCTATATATAATAATTTCAAAATAGGTATTAGGGTCCTAGGTTCTGTAAGAAATCCATGAAAATAGCTGTCCATATTCTCCCTTATGTGTAATCAATTTTTCCAGTGAAGTGACTATGTTTTTAAAAATTCATTTATTTTTATTGGAAAGTCAGATATACAGAGAGGAGGAAAGACAGAGAGGAAGATCTTCCATCCATTGGTTCACTCCTCAAGTGGCCACAACAGCCAGAGTTATGTCAGTCTGAAGCCAGGAGCCAGGAGCCTCTTCCAGGTCTCCCGTATGAGTACAGGTTACCAAGGGCCTGAGCAATCCTTGACTGCTTTCCTGGACCCCAGGCAGGGAGCTGGATGGAAAGTAGGGCCTCAAGGATTAGAACTGGTGCCCATATAGGATCCTGGCACATGCAAAGCGAGGACTTTAACCACTAGGCTACCGCACAAGATTTATTTATTTATTTGAAAAAGTTTCAAAAAGGAAAAAAAAAAGGTGGGGGGTGAGGGGAAGGAGAGGGAGAGAGAGAATATCTCATCTGCTGGTTAGATTCCCAAATGGTCACAATAGCTAGGACTGGACCAGGCCAAAGACAGGAGCCAAGAGCCATCCGGGTTCCTCACATAGGTACAAGGACCCAAAGACCTGGGCCATCTTCCACTGCTTTTCCAGGTACGTTAACAGAGAGCTGGTTTGGAAATGGAGAGGTTGGAACATGAACTAGCACCCACATGGAGTGCTAGCATCACAGACAATGACTTAACCCACCATACTAGAATTCCAGCTCCTGCGGCATTGTATTTTATCAGTAGAGATAAAATTTTGTAGAGTTTTCAGAGTAAATTTTCATTCCTCTTGTTCTTATTTTCATATTATAAATAATATCTAGGTGCTATAAGTTTAAATTTATTTTCTTATAGAAGCACCACTCTGAAAATAAGGGTCTAGACAAAGTGATGGAGACTCAAGCCCAAGTGGATGAACTGAAAGGAATCATGGTCAGAAACATAGGTAAGTTTCAGTGGCATAGTTTCAAACATGTGGGCAAAAAATGGCAAAAGACTACTCTCTTGGGTTCAAATTATACTAGAGAATAGAGTAGTCTGAAACAACACTTACTTAGTATTGGAAGTTAATTATTATGAGAGATGTGATTACCTACCTAATTCCATATGAATGGTTTCTTAATATTGGTGATTGTTCTTCACTCTGAATTTGTTTACCTTTAACAAGACAATGTTCTAGGACCTTAGGATAGTTTGGCAATTTAGGGTAATTTGTTCAGATTTCACGAGAAATACCCAGACAGCTAATGTTTCTGTAGATTATTAAAATATAACTGGCCTCTTTAGAATGTCTGGTTTTTGAATGAGAGACTCTCAGAAAGATCTTGAGGATTCTTTCACAATAAAATAAAATGAAAGAGCAGGTATGGATTTTTCTTAGATGTTCTATATCAGGCTGAGAAAATCCCCTTGTATTTTCTGATTACTGAATATATTTACCATTAAAAGATACTTGATTTTGCTATGTTTTGAAATGATCATCTGATTTTTGTTCTTTATTAATGTGAAGTAATTTTTGGAAAGTAAACCATTCTTGGTTTTGAAATAAATCCCATCACATCATGGTGTGTAATCCTTTTTGTTTTTCATTTAGTTTTTATTTTTCATAATATGATTTCTTATGCCCCAGAGATTTCTCCTTCCACACACCCCATTCTGCCTCCCCCCATACTATTTTCTCCTGTATTATTACAATAGTATTTCCCTTCAACACTAGTCAAAAGTCCGTCATTCTTGTATTTAAGTGTGTCATGTCATTGTAGGTATACACGGTGGTAGAATGTCCAGCATCCTATTGTCAAGATGTATTTAACAGTTTCATTGGGAGTCCATCTTCTTTTCAGTAGAGATGCATATTACATTGTATCTTCATAGTGTACTTGCCTACATTATACAGTTCCTCTAGATAAATATATGTATATACATGTTTGCGTATGTATCTATTGATCTTGTATTTTGCATGAAGGTTGGCTTAGGTCAGAGAGAATATATGATATTTGTCTTTTTGGAATTGGCTTATTTCACTGATCATAATGGTCTCTAGTTGCAGTTTTGTCTGATCTTTGTGAAATATCTCTCCCATAAGCAGCAGATAAATGGGTTTTGTTTTTTGATCCAGTCCTCTAATCTATGGCATTTGACTGATGAGTTTAAGCCATTTCCATTCAATGTTAATGTGGATAGGTGGTAGTTTGGTCCTGTCATTTTAGCAATGGGATTATTCTTTGATTGAGTCTTCTGTTAGCCTTTTAATGGGATGTTCTCCACATTTGCCTTTGGTTTTGATAGTTGGTATTCCTTTTCTATTTCATGAGAACATTTTTTAGTATTATTTGTAGGGCAGATTTAGAGGAGGTGAATTCCTGGAGTTTTTCTTTATTGTGGAAGAATTTTATTTCATTTTCAAAGGCAAAAGAGAGCTTTGCAGGATTCGTTATTCTAGGCTGAGAAATTTTCCCTTTTAGAGTCTGGAATATGTCACTCCAGTCTCTCCTGGCCTGTAGTGTTTCCTCTGAGAGGTCAGGCATGAATTTGATTGGGATTCCTCTATAGGTCATTTGTATTTTTCTCACGTGCTCATTTAAAGATTTTTTTTTCCTTATGTTTAACTAAAAAGAGTTTGATTATCATGTGTCGTGGTGAAGTTCGCTTTTGATTAACTCTGTTGGGAGTTCTGTGACCCTTCTATATATTGTTTTCCAGTTCTTTCTCCGGGTTAGGACAGTTTTCGCTCATTTTTTCTTTTTCTTTTTTTTTTTTAGATTTATTTATTTTTATTGCAAAATCATATATACAGAGAGGAGGAGAGATAGAGGAAGATCTTCCATCTGATGATTCATTCCCCAAGTGACTGCAATGGCCAGAGCTGACCCAATCAGAAGTCAGGAACTTCTTCCAGGTCTTCCACGTGGGTGCAGGGTCCCAAAGACTGAGGCTATCCTTGACTGCTTTCCCAGGCCATAAGCAGGGAGCTGGCTGGGTAGTGGGGTTGCCGGGATTAGAACCGGCGCCCATATGGGATCCTGGCATGTTTAAGATGAGGCCTTTAGCCACTAGGCCACCACACCATGCCCTCATTTATTATTTCATTGAATAAACCTTTAATTCCAGTTTCTTTTCTGCACCTTCTAGAACTCCCATAATTCTTATGTTGGGTCTTTTAATCGTATCTTTTAATTATTGGATACAAATTTTTAGCTTGGCCTAGCTCTGCTTCCAGCTTTTTGTTTGTTTACCCCTGGTGACAGGAAATATCTTCCAATTCTGAGATTCTTTCTTCTGCTTCCTTCATTCTATTTTTGAGACTGTCCACTATACTTTTAACTTGCTTCACTGTATTCTTAACTTCTGAAATGTCAGCTTTCATTTGATTCATTTCCTGTGTGACATATTCCTTAAATTCTTTGAACTCCTGTATTATGTTATTGTTGGTCAGAAGCTTTAGAATGAGTTTTCTGAATTCTGCATCCCCCATTTTCTCAATGACCTCAGATCTCAGTTAACTCTGAGGGTGGTAGAGGCTTTTGCTCCTTTACCAGGGAGTCTTTACCATTGTGCCTCTGTCTCTGCTTTTAACTTTTTACGTTGCAATCCTGTCTGGCAGATTCTTCTCCTTAGTTCAGATTTCTAAGATATATTAGTTATAGGTCTACAAGCCAATTTTTACGTTAATTCAATGTCCTGGATTAGGAAAATGCCAACTGTCCCAGATAACTGGTTTGTTGGTGGCACTGATCTTGTCTAGACACACAAGATGGCACCTAGAGAGGCACTGCCGGAGAGCCAGGGCTGTTGGCCTTTGGACCTGGGGACCACACAGATCCTGCAGGACACAAAGCTGGCGCTGTCTTCCCCGTGGGATCAGCCCAGCATGACTAGCCGGAAATACGCCCACTCTAGCCTTCTATCCCTGTGCCATGAGCTCCAACCCTTAATAGTCTGCCTGGCGGAGTCTGCTGCTCCATTTCCGTTTGTTGCTGGGCCGAAGTATTTGGCAAGATTGACTGGTCCTAGTCTACCTTCGTCTTCTGAGCTCCCCATGCGAACCCATACTCCCACCTGGCTGCTGCAATTGCCAATTTGTGGCCACCGCTAGATCCCTGGTTGTTGATGGAGTCTGGGTTGCTGTTCACCCGTGGCTGGTGGGTTTTCTGTTTCCTGTAAACCACTCTGCTGTTGCCACCTCTTCCCTGTGTTCAGGGGGTCTCCATGTTCCCCACTCACTGCCCTCCGTTGACTGCCTGACCCTCTATCTTTTCCTATAATCTGCTCCCTGTGCTGTACCCTGTCTAGTGATTCTCCATCTTCCTGAACTATCTGCACCCTATGCTACCATCTTGATTCTATGCCATTTGTTTATTTTGGCTTTGGCTGCTTGTGCTTTTCGTGACTTTTCTAAGAAGTTTTTACCAATGCCTAAATCTTTTAGAGTGCTTACTCTGTCTTCCTCTAATGGTTTGATGGTTTCTGGGTATAGATTTAGGTCCTTGGATCCATTTAGAGTTGATTTTTATATAAGATGAGAGGAGAGAGTTTTGATTCTTATCTCTTCAGGCTGCTATCCAGTTGTGCCAATGGTACTTGCTGAAGAGACCAGGCTTTTCCCCTGGATTGTTGTCAGTTTTCTTGTCAAAGATTAGTTGGCTATACATGTGTGGTCTCCTTTCTGGGGTTTCTGTTCTGTTCCACTGATCTTCTGTTTTTGTATTGGTACTAGACTGTTTTGACAACCAATGCCTAGTGTATGTTGAGGTCTGGAAATGTGATTCCTGTAGCTTCTTTTTTATTCTTCAGGATAGCTTTGGCTGTCCGTGATCTCTTGTGTTTCTAGAAGAATTTTCCTATCATCTTTTCTATTTCTAAGAAGAATGTTGTTGAGATTTTCATTGGGATTATATTCGAATCTGTATATTACTTCGGTAATATAAGTATTTTGATGATTTTGATCCTGCTGATCCAGGAATATGGTAAGTGCTCTGTTTAAATGTATTATTCTAATTTTTAATGGTTTGTAATTTTCATCATAGAGGTCTTCCACATCTTTGATTAGGTTAATTGCAAGGTATTTAAGATTTGTCTCTGCTATTTTAAAGGCTATTTATGAGTTCTTTCACAGATATGGAGTTATTTGTGAATACTAGGGCCATCTATTTATGTTCATTAATTTTGTATTTGCTACCCTACCAAACTCCTTTATGAGTTCCAATAGCCCCTGATCGAGTCTCTTGGTTCTTCACATATAGTATATAGTCTGCATGTAGGGATAATTTTATTTGCTCATTTCTGAATTGAATTCCTTTAATTTCTTTTTCTTTCTTTTTTTTTTTTTTTTACTAATAGTTCTATCTGGGACTTCCAATACTGTATCAAATAGCAGTGATGAAAGTGGGCATCCTTGTCTAGTTCCAGATCAGTGGAAAAGCTTCCAGTCTTTCCCTATTTAGTGTGATGTTTGCATTGAGGGTTTTTTGTTTTTTTTTTAAGCCCATAGTAAGTTTATTCATATTTGAGTGCTTCAAAAAAACAGAACTACAATATTTCAACATGTTATAGAACCAACTGCTTTTGCTGAGACCATTTAAAATGGTATTTCTTTTTTTTTCTTTTTTTTATTAATAAAATTTATTTTGACATTCTTTACATACTTAGTTAGAGTAAGAAGGTTCAAGGGCTACAGGAAAGTGGATAATACTAGTATGTTTTCCATATTGTTACCTTCATGTTTAAAAGGCGGGTATTAAGGGAGAAGGCCCACCCAATTTCCCACCCTCCCCAAGTCCCGGGTGTAGGGCATGCTCTGAGGTTCTTGCTCAAGTCGTTTTGATATTGCAACAGTTATGAATTACTGTCAATCTTGCCACTCCAAGCACTATGAGGTCTTTGAAAAATCCCCTGATTGACATAGTCCATCATAGCTGAGATGGTTGGTTGACTCATTCTGTCTTC